AAAAAAAGAGAGAGAGGAAGAGAGAGAGAGAGAGAGAGAGAGAGAGAGAGAGAGAGAGAGAGAGAGAGAGAGAGAGTCAACATAGTCTGAAAAACAAAGGACCCTAACCCAAGATACCCTCCACAAACAGAGGAGGGGGAAACCCTGAAGGTCCCAGCTCCATCATTCTCCTGCTCCCTGAGCTTTTTTCCTCAGAAATTGTCACAACCGAAGGTTCCCCACTTGTGTTCAAGATCATCCTGTTCTATTGTTTTTGTGGTCATTTCATTAGCCCTCCAAGACCTGACACAAACTGTGTTGGTAGGTACAAGGCTATTGTGAAACCTTTGGAGCTCCATTCGGATGCTGTTCTGAAGACCTGCTGTAAAGTTGCTTGCATCTGGATCGTCTCCATGTTATTGGCTGCTCCGGAAGCCGTATCTTCTGACCTCTATATTTTCCACATGCCCGAGAAGAACACCACCCTCAAAACCTGCGCGCCGTATCCCGTCTCTGAACGTGTCCTGCAGGAGGTCCACTCGCTGGTCTGCTTCTTGATCTTCTACATCTTACCCCTGGCCATCATATCTATCTACTACTTTCTCATTGCCAAGACGCTCTACAAAAGTACATCCAGTATGCCCGCAGAAGAGCAGGGTCACGCTCGTAAACAGGTAGGCAAAAATGTCCAGCCTGCATTTCTTACATATTTGGGTCTTTCAAAACAGAAACAGGTATCCTTCTTAGAGATAGGTCTTTTGGAGAACATGGAGGTCAACCCAATAGGATCACTCAATCTCAGGATGTTCGCAGGCATGTGGGCTAGTGGGTGTCATAAAAAGAACTCAAGGTGGGCTATGAAAGGTTGAGCCAACGGACACGTTTTGTCCCAAAATGGCATCACTGTTTTGGGATCCAGAGGTGCTGTTTGAAGCACATATGGCCCACAAGAAGGTTCAGTGGGGAGAAAGCCTTATTGTTTCATTGTGTGCCACCCAGTCATTTTTGTGAGATGGGCAGCTGTATAAAGTTTATAAAATGAAAATAAAGTATTCTTTTATATATATATAATAAATCAGCAAGATTCATTAATCAGGCTGCTGAGGTGGGCTTCAGCTTTGAATCCCTAAACTGTAGTAATCTGGAATTTAACTCCAGAAAAGCAAATTTGGTTTTTTTTCTCACAACTGTAGAACCCTTTTTCCTTCTTCTTGTGTTGCAAAACCATGTTTTCTTTGCAGCTTTTATCAAGGGCAGGCTACACCCAGCTCTGGTTTTCTGCTGATAAGTGGCAGAAAGGAACCCGGGAGATGTTTCCCAGCTTGTATCTCAGGGAAAAATCTGACAAGCAGCAGCAGCAGTAATCCAGCCTGGCTTTTATGAAAAGAAGAAGCTAAACCTAGGCGGTTCTAAGTCAGTCCTTGACCCCTCAGGGGAATTCTGGGAGTTGAAGTCCACAAAAGGTTGGACAACCCCGCCCATCATTTTCCAGTTGACGTCCATCACTAAGGCAGGATTGGAACTCAAGCTCCTCTGCTCCTAATCCAGTATCTTATCCTCTATACCAAAATGGTTTTCTCAAGAAATCTTCCACTTGCCATTATTTAAATAGCGAGTTCCTTCTCCATATTTTTCAATTACTAAGATTAAATACCCCTTTCTGTAAATTCCACCAATGAGCTGCACATGTTGGATGCAGTGTTGGTAACATTTACCGGGCTTATAGGCGAACATAAGAAGATTCTTGACGGGTCATGCTTTTATGTTCCAACTTTCAGGGCAATGCTCAAGCATCAGATAGCCTGGATGAACTGTTATACGTTGTCATTATATTATTGGTTTATAGCAACAAAAAAACAACAACAGAAAGTTCCTTTCGTTGGTGTCATCAATTAGCCAAAGAAGGTCTAGCAGTATTTATCTTTTCTTGCCATGTTGATGTTGGGTTATTTTAAGAAGCCTGCATAGAAACCAGGAACAATAATTTGCACGTATTTCCCCCCTTAGATTGAATCCCGCAAGCGAGTGGCCAAAACTGTGCTGGTCTTAGTAGGATTGTTTGCCTTCTGCTGGCTACCCAACCACATCCTCTACCTGTACCGTTCGTTCACCTACCACGCTTCCATAGATACGTCCACTTTCCATCTGGTGGCTACCATCTTCTCCCGGGCGTTGGCCTTCAGCAATTCCTGCGTCAACCCCTTTGCTCTCTACTGGCTGAGTAAAGGCTTCCGCCAACATTTCAAGAAGGAAATCTTGTGTTGCAAGACCAAGATGCCCGTCAGAAGGGCCAGCCCGACTCAGGGCCACACCCCGAGCAGAGCCATGTCAGTCACAGGATCGGAAATCAGTGTCACTTTGCTCACAGATTATAGCATCACCAAAGAAGAGGAGAGTGTTTAACTGCCCTGGAGGATCATCGTCCCACTTGGACTGCCCAGCAAGATCCAGAAAATGGCTGAATGTAGAGGAGAGCTTCTTGTGCTTGGCAGAAACCTTCCCAGTGCATCGTAAGATATCACACCTCAGCATCACAAAACGTTTCCTGCAAATCACAGCAATTCGTTTCACACGTATACACTCCTACTGTGGTTTTCCTCCCAAGCTGCCCTCTCAGGCATGTTCAACTTAAATCAAAACCAGCATATTCCCTTTGCCGTTACAAGGAGAAGCAAGAACTTGATTTGGTTTAGATCAGGATACAGAACATTGGAAGCTGCGTAGGAAGGAAAGGCCTGTCAAGAACCCGTTAACCTGAAGGTTGAGCTCTTGAGACTGCAGGAGGAGAAAAGGGCTGGCTAGCAGCTCCAATAGCATTAACAGAATAACAGAGTTGGAAGGGACCTTGGAGGTCTTCTAGTCCCACCCCCTGCTCAGGCAGGAGACCCTATACCATTTCAGACAAATGACTGTCCAGTCTCTTCCTAAAAACCTCCGGTGTTGGAGCACCCACAACTTCTGAAGGCAAAGCGGTTCCACTGATTAATTGTCCTGTCAGAAAATTTCTCCTTAGTTCCAGCTTGCTTCTCTCCTTGATTAGTTTCCATCCAGTGTTTCTTGCATTAGAAAGAGATACGGAGGTTTCATGAAAAAAGGGGATTAGTGTCAATTAGTCATAAAGTGGCCCATGCGCCGTCGGAATCCTCCCACCAAATATATACTGCTTGCAAATAATGGCCAATAAGCCGCTCTCTTCATATTCTGCTTCCAGAGACATTTGCTTCTGCATTCAAGATTTGGAGATACAGGAGGATTTTGAAGGAAGGCTGGTCATACTCTTGACCAGTGTACTTATGTCGGTCGCAGCATCCTGAGGTCATGTCATCATCATCTGTGATCTTCTCAGGGCGCTTCCAACACACAAAGTCAATGGGGGAAGCCCTATTTGCTTAAGGACTGCATGATTAGCTGTGGCAAAAAAGGGTCATTAAAATCGGGCATAACTCATTTCACAACTACATTGCTTCGTGAAGAAAATTCTGGTTCCAGTTCTGGCCGTTAAGTGGAGCACTACCTAGAATGTCCTTGCCCCTTCTTTAACGAAATAAGAGGTTTGCATTTATCGTTTAACCAGGTTTTTTCTCCTCCATTGTACTGCGACCTTGTCGTGAAATTTAAATTATTAAGCCCTAATAAAGCTTGCTTTCAATACAGAAAATGGTAACAGATTCTGTATTATGAGTTGTTATTGAATAACAGAGTTGGAAAGGACTTCGGAGGTCATCTTCTAGTCCAACCCCCTGCTCAGGCAGGAAACCCGGCCTATACCATTCAAGGCAAACGGCTGTCCAATATCTTCTTAAAAACCTTCAGTGTTAGAGCACTACAGTCAACAGAGTCCAAAGCAGCCAATTTCTAGTTTTATGAGGTTCCACCCCTGTCCAGTTGTGAGACCATCTTCATCAAAGAGTTGGGTTTAGGGTTATCATCAATAATGATCGCTTGGCATATGGTAACATTCAATACTCGTTTTCAGGATGAGCTTGGCACATGATTTGGGTTGTTGTTGTTGTTTTAGTTCGGAACATACTATGAGTCGGAGAACTCTGTTTTTAGCTTTTTCTTTAACTTAATGAATCTCATTAGAAGCCTCCCTTTCTTGCCCACAATTTCTACCCTCATTCAAATGAATTGGAGGCCTGGAGATAGTATATTTCCAAGGATTTTGGTTACAGCATTGATCCCGTGGGTATGCTGCGGGAAGAATCCCCACTTCAATAAGGAACCAACTGCTGGGTTGTTTCTACTGATGCTGGAATACACCAGGGGAAGAAGAGAAGTACTAGATTTTACTGTGCTCCCCACGGTGCAATTTCTGAGCTGGGGCCAGGAGGAACTGCACATTTCCCTACTGATTTGATTCACATCCCTCACTAACCCATTATTTGCTATAGTGTGGTTTGTTCACTAAGTCACAGTTGGTTCAACACATATCATTAACCATTGTTTACGTGCCACTGTGGCTGGATCATATATACCAAACTTTTAAAAAAACATAAAAGCACATGTACCCTCCAACCATTGCAATCATCATTTGCACATTCATTTGAAACTATATTGCGTTTAATTTTACTGAACTTTCAGTAAAAAAACAACAACAGTTCAGAGCTGAAGTGCTACTTGTTTCAATGCAGTCTAAACCACTAGCTGTTTTCTCAGAAGTGCCATTGAATTCAATGAGTCCAACATTAAATGAATGCATTTAGAGTTTTACACAAGTAAAAATAACCAACTGGACTGAGCTGGTATTTCCAGCTTGTATTGCTCAAAAGAAGCCAGGTATTTTACTGCCTTATTATTATAGCATCACAATGCATTCTGAGTTCCTACGGCTAATGAATTATTTACACTGCTTTTCTTATCTTAATATTTTGAAACCATTCCAATTCACTGAACTCTAAATTTTGACACTATTCAGTTTTTTAAATATGCAACTGATGCATTCAGTTTAAGATCTTAAAAATCAGTCATCTTAAAATACTGTTAACTCAGCTCGGATCCATGCATTAGGAATAAAACAATCTCTGGACCAAAATTGTGACGTTGTTTTTCAGACTTCTATTCTGGAAGTGTGAAGATACAGTATCTCTAACGAGGCAGCCGGTACCAAAGTAGATTAAGGCAAAAGGTTATTGACAAATCTAAGATTACATCTCCAGCAAGTCATTCTGTCAGCTCGTTGGGTGGTGATTTAAGGCCCTTCTGGACGAGGGCTTCCATCTTACATTTGGATGACCATTCTGCTGGGTATGACAGCAAGATATTTTTTTGCTCCAGAGTACCGATTTCAAAACAGGCGTGAAGCTTTTCAGCCACAAAGGCAATGAGTTTCATTTCTTGGTGCAATTCCTCCAAGGCTTCATTAGCAAGAAAATAAATAAAGAGTACATCTGGGCCTTGAAGCCTCAGGATTTTCCTCAATAGCAGTGCTTCTTAAATTTGGCCACTTTAAGGTGGGTGGGCTTCAACTCCTGGAATTTCCCAGCTACCATGGCTGACTGGGTAATTCTGGGAGTTTAAATCCACCCTCTTAAAGTTGCCAAGTTTGAAAAGACCCCAGAATATCTTCTTTGATTGTCTCCATTGGAGAGGCTGGTTTTTACCCCCTCCCTGTCTCTGCTGAGGCCACTGGCTGAGGAGACTGCAACCCCATCGGGAGTCATTGCTCAGAAGCTCCATTGCTTCCCTCACTCTTATCTCCTTCCGGCCTTCCCTTCTCCTCAAGCACAAACGGACTGCTCAGCTCCGACGTTCATTGGCTGCCTTTGTTGTTGTTTGTCGCTGTTTTCGGCCTAGGCCCGCCTTCTTTCCGAAGGCGACTTCCGCTCTTGCGCAGTGAGCGGCAGGGCTCCTTCCCTTCAGCTGGTACGCTAAGAACAGGAGGGGCAGAGACGAGACCAAGGCAGGGCAGCACTTCTGCGCTTGCGCGCTAACTTCCGGCCGACGCGAAGGCGGGGGGGAAGCGCCCTTCTGCGCCTGCGCAGTCGCCTCGTCTCCAGGTGAGGCGAGAACCCGAGGGTTTTACCGCGGCGGGATGGGAGAGCCGGCCTGGCTCCGTCGCCTCTGAGCGCGGGCGCCCTTCTCTGTTTAACCCGGAGAGGCCCGAAGGGAGTCTCGCCGCGAGAAGGGGCCCGCGCGTGCGCAGCAGGGCCCTGGGCGCGAGCCGTGCGCGCATGCGCCCCAGCGCGGGAGGGCCCCGCTGCGAGGCATTTCCAGGCCGGGCCGGGCCCGGGCGGCGCCTGGTCGTGAGGAGCGGCGTCGAGTCGGGCGGCACCATGAGCGTCGGCGGCTCGGACCGCAATGAGGACTTCCACCAGCAGCTGCGGCTGCAGGAGCTCTACGAGCGGAAGGAGGACGGGGGGGGCGGCGACGAGCCCTTCACCTACACCGACTCCGCCGACGGCACGCAGTACGAGTGGGACCGCGAGAAGAAGGCCTGGTTCCCCAAGGTGGGCCGGCCCGCCCGCCGTCCCCATCCTCCACAGCGGGGGGGTGGGGGTGGGTGGGTCTGTGGGGGAATCCAAAGCCCATGAGGGGCATCCTGCCCCTGCCTGTTCCCTGTCGGCGGAGAATGATGGGCATTGTAGTCCTGGGCTGGGTTGGGGGCTTGCGGGGGGGGGAGGGACACGGTCTTCTGGTTTTCAGGCTGCAACAGTCTTGCTTTTGTTAGTGGGGAGCCTTCCTGTGGGCGGGGGAGTCGCCCAGTCCTTTAGCCTTCCTTATGAAACCAAATAATTTCATTAAAGGCATTGATTTTTTTTTTTTTTGCTTAGGGTAGTAATCCCTGCATCACCTGCCTACAAATTGATAGTTGCTCTGAAGAGAGCGAAAGGGTTGGCGTATAAATTTATATAATAATAATTCTTAATTCTATATACAAATAAAAATGTGAAATGTTCGTTTGTCCAAAATCTTAAATCTCCGAAAGTTCTTCACCGATTGCTTTGAAATTTTGACACAACGTTGCATTCGAATACGTGCGTGTTTTTATACACCTACGATTATATAGATGTCACATCTGTGACACAAACGTGCGCTTTCTCTTTTCTTTCTTTTCCATTTAACCAGACTGAGCCACAGTAACGCGTGGCCGGCTACAGCTAGTATATATTATATAATGTAAACCATAAAGATGCCAAATCCAGTCTTAAAACTTCAGGCTGACTAAGCAATGGACTCTGCAAATCATCATCATCATCATCATCCTGATTTCCTGGGGCAAAAATGCCATTTTTTGAGATGAGCCCTCTCAGCCAGCCTCGATTTTTCTTACTTGCTCCTTTGGCTTGCTGTCCTTCTTGACCCTCCTTATCTCTCCTGCTGGATCCCTTTACTAGGTTCTCAACCTGCCTTATAAAAAATAGATAAAGGAAAGGCAATGAAAACATCGAATACTTTAGCTTTGTAACTCTCTCAAATGGGAACACAGCAATTCAGTAGGTTGGTGTTTCTCAAACTTGGCAACTTTAAAAGGTGTGGATTCCAACTTCTCACTCTTCCAGGAATTATTTATTTTGTTTTCTAAATGGGCATCTAGCCCCAGGGTTAACAGGCTAGCTGCATTGTACAATTCTGCTGCTGAATCAAGTGATGAGCAGTTGCCCCTGAAAAGTCTCTGACTTTCTTCCCTAAATTCTGAAGAATATTTGTAAGAAATGTGGACAGTTGCTAGCATTTTTAGATGTCCAAAGAGAATCTTGCAGGGAGTCTGTTAAGGGAGAGTAAACACTCTACAACTCCTTGATGACTTGATCTCAAAGATATTTTACAGTTGCTGGTGCTCCGAGTGGCTTTCTGTAGTATCTCTAGAGTAGCATCCTTTTACCCTATGTAGGCCTGCCTATCTCCCTCTAAGCTGCCTATCAGTTGTTGTGCCATTATGAACGGTTAAAAATAGAACATGATCTGCATTATTTGTTTCAGGAGGCCACCTTGGGCACTTGCAATAACATTTAAATCTTAATTTGGTCTCTAATTGGTTTCCTGAATAATGTCTTTTTAGGTCACTGAAGATTTCTTGGCAACGTACCATGCTAACTATGGTTTTCCCACTGAAAGCTCCAATACTTCGGCGTCCGTTGCAAAGACTGAATCTAAAGCTGCACCGGATTCCAAGGCCGCCAAGGCTCGGCTGCCGGTAGACGCCAAACCATCGCAGCTGCTGCCAGCAGACCTTAAACAAAAAGGAGAAAAAAGAAAAGCCGAAGCAGGCAAGGGGCTCCGTCGTGCATGACTTAAAAGTAGTCTGCTGTTCAAGAAGAGATGTGTCTTCCTGCGGAGTTGAGCTTGTGTGGGCTGTCACGCAGAGCATCCTTAGAGCCGGTCAGACTCAGAAAGCCTAATTTTAAAGGATCAAATTATGGCCAACTTCTAGGAATTTGTGAATGTTGTTAAAGCTTGATAGGTGTGAAAATAGGAAAGTGCCATTTATACTAGGTCAGGCTGTTTAGCCGATGTGAACTTTAGTCTGAAGAGCTGTTCTCCTTTCTTTAGAGGTGCAATCCTAACTTATCATCATCTCCCCTTTAGGATGGTTTCATGTTGAAGAACAGAAAAATACAAATGTTTATGTGACAGGTGAGGAGCCGTCTTGAATCTTTGCTGGTTTGTGAAAGCTGGGTTATGAAATGGCTGTGGTGATCCGGTTCTCCTGTGAAATGGATTCAAGCCCCTGAATATCATTTTAAATATTTCACGTCACATAAAATCTTTGCTTCTGGAATTAAAAATGATGCCGATGGCTTTGAGTAAAGTTTAAATGGAGGGGAAGAGTGATAAGTAACACATTTATTTAAAAATCCGGTTCTATATATTTGAATTATTTGGGAAGTGCCTCAAAATGCCAAAGTTGCCGCACAACTCCATGCAGGTTTTGTAGTCAATTTGTCCACTTTTGTTTCCCGCTCTTGGTGAACTGAAATTTCTCTCCGTTTTAATGAGGATGGATGTCTTGCTATGCTTTAAATGTGAGGCCAGTGCCTCTAAATAAATTCCAGTCATGTTCCTTTTTTACTTCCTAGTTAGACGATCACCTTGTGGCCACTCAGCATTGGCTACATGGCTTAATGACTGTGTAGTTGAGTGGTAAAATGCCTTCATGCTGTATCTGGAAGCGCCCATTGCAGCATTTATTTATTTATTTTATTTATTTATTTAATTGCATTTATATCCCGCCCTTCTCCTTGCGGACTCAGGGCGGCTGACAATGATTAAAATACTAACATATACATCTAATTAATTGATTAAAAAGAAATATTTAGATACGTCAAATTTAAAAGTAATTAAAACCCCTTTAAAATCCCTTAGGCCAGTCCCGCGAGCTGGAACAACCACGTCTTGAGGGCGCGGCGGAAGGAAGGGAGATCAGGGATCACCCTGATCTCTGGGGGCAGTTCGTTCCAGAGGGTGGGACCTTTGCCATGTTTGATATGGACTCCCATTTCCTAGCTGTGTAATACTTGTAAAATGCACAATATTTCTGAAGCCTCCACCATAATGGTGCTGTTCTGACTGGCTTGTGATCTCCTGGCAGAGACTTCTGCCTTGGATACACAAGACACATCCAAGAAGAAAGTTCCCAGCCTGGCTGCACACCATGACTTTGAGGCTGTTTCCCGTGATCTCATTCTGCTCTGTGTTAAAGGTGTCAGCTCTCAGGCTGTAGACCTCTTTATCCTCCCTGAATCCAAGGAGCAGATGCCTGCTGACACTGACAAAATACGTCGCAGGGTCCACCTCAAGCGTGTCCATGGGTTTCAAAGCTTACATTTTGAGCGGACAGTGCAGAACTGCGTTAAGGATTTTATATCCAACTTGGGAGCTAGAAAATAGAAAAGAACTACGATTGTCCTTGAGTGGCATTATATTTTTTTCCCCTCGCAGTTGGGATCCAATGCTGCCAAAATGCAAAAGCTGTCAAGACCATGCCGAATGAGGGGGAATAGACAAAGATGCCAGGGTGACAAAACAACAACCTTGTGACATTAAACGTTCAGTTTGGTTTTGTTGTTGCATTTGTGTCTGTTCAATTTTACCTTTCCAGGTTTGCCACCAGATATCACAAAAGATGAATTTGTAGACGTTATGTCAAAATGTGGCATCATTATGCGCGATCTTCATACAGAGGAACCAAAAATCAAGCTCTACAAAGACAAGGAGGGAAACCTTAAAGGTGACGGACTCTGTTGTTATTTAAAGGTTAGTTGCTTATTCTGTCACAGTGTACCCTCGTGGTGATCCTGTGGTTGCAGTTGTTATTGCAAAAATAGATCCCTAGCCCCTTTGAGTCTCTTTATTTAAAATTATTTTAGTTTAGCTTCTGGGCATTCCTACAGGCCTCAATGAAATTTATGAGAAGCATGTTTTAATGTCTGTCCCGAATGTTGTCTCTTTGTCTGTTTAGGTGGAAAGGGGAGGTCTTAAACCAGGTTTTTTCTCTCTCTGTGTCTCTTTTCCCAGAGAGAATCTGTTGAACTTGCGCTGAAATTGCTGGATGAAAAAGAAATCCGAGGGTACAGACTGCATGTGGAAGTTGCCCAGTTCCAGCTTAAGGGGGAGTATGATGCCAGCAAGAAGAAAAAGAAATGCAAAGATTACAAAAAGAAGCTCTCTCAGCAACAAAAGTGTGTGGCTCTTTCTCAAGACACCTCGAAACTTTGATAAGAACGTTTTGCTTTTAAGGGTCAATGTATTTGCCTGTGGAAAATGTGGCCAGGCTTGCCTTTTCATTAAACCTGGGGCTTGAAAAGGATTGTATTTATAGGAAATGCATGAAACCTTCATCTTTAAAGCAGCTCAAATCACCCCAGGAGGACAGCCCCTAATAAAATGTGGATTTCAGTGTCAAGTTATTTTTCATGTAGGTGGCTTATAGATAACACATCAGTTTCAATGCCGCTGGGGAACTGCCTTTCATTAACGGGGGGAAAAGAATTCTGCTAGCTCTGATTTCAGAAACATCCAATTTCTTTTTCAACAATACTTTTAGAAACTGAAGAGACACCCCCCCCTCCCAACCTCTTAATGTTGCTTCATTTCATTAGACTGCTGGATTGGCGGCCGGAGAAGAAAGAGGGGAGCGTTAGATTGCGACAAGAGCGAGTTATCATCATCAGAAACATGTTTCATCCCAAAGATTTTGAGGTAGGTAAAAACCCAGCAGGGCTTCACAAACTGCAATCCCTCCCGAAGGCCTGGGAACGCATCGTCTCCCAAAGATGACACAAATGAAGCAGGGCTCGCCGCAAGCCAAGAAGTGTTTGTGGCGTAATAGGGCCAGCTACGTTAGAAAGGACCGTTCCATTTTTAGGCTGCTTCTGGCCGAGGCTGTTGGGACTATCGTATCCAGCCATTTAATTTGCTCCTCCTGTATTTGAAGGCACAATGTTACCCTCCAGTGGGACATACTCCAAATGTATTTTGTAATCGCATTTAGGCTTATATACCGCCCCGTAGCACTTTACAGCACTCTCTGGGTGGGCTTACAATGTAAACATTATTTGCATGTTGCCCCCAACAATCTGGATCCTCATTTTATGACCTCGGAAGAATGGAAGGGTGAATCCACCTTGAGCCAATCGGGATCAAACTCCAGGTGGTGGGCAGAGTTTGCCTGCAATGCTGCACTTTTGCCACTGTGCCACCAGGGCTCCTTTATCTGTTCATCTCTTTATATTTACCCAAAGGCTAGGAGTCATGGGGCCTGTAGTCCAACATGCCTGAAGTTTGTAAGGTTTCCTAGTCCTGGTACAGGCCCTCTGTTTCTGTTAGGATCGGCTAAAGAGAGTTCTACCTTTAGAGGATGACGTTTTCCGTTCAGTCTGTGCTTTTGAGCATTGATGAAAACAGAACCCAACAAGCTTTTGAACTGTGCATAGCCAATAATTCAGGCAAGATGGTCCGGTATCTCATTTTACTGGTCAAGAGTGCCAGAATTGTTCTGTGAAGTACTTTTGCTTTCTGAAAGTGTTGGATGCGTTTTTAAAATATGCTTTAAAATGTCTTTCCAGGAGGATCCCTTAGTGCTAAATGAGATCCGGGAAGATCTACGGACAGAATGTGAAAAATTTGGTCAAGTAAAGAAAGTCATTATATTTGATGTATGTATCAGAAATACTCCGTCCTAATTTTGCCTTGTACTTTTGAGACGTTCTACAAAAGCACTAATAGTTACCACACCAGCCGAGCTCCATTTAGAACCATCAGTTTGTTTGATGAAGAACCCCACGTAATTTTTCAAAAAAGTTCATTATTCAGTGTATCGCTGGAATACGGCCGAGCCCTTATAAAACATTATGTCTGTATTGCGAGCCTTGGGACAGCAGCAACATTTTTAAAATTAAAAGGAGTTTTAAAATATTACCCACTCCAGTGCTGTATTTGACAATTGAAGGGTTTAATCAGACGATAACATGGAAAGGTTACTAGATTTCTGGAGGACACAGATATTCTTATCATTATGGGGAGGTGTTAGAAGAATAAACATGAAAAGGTAAAATGCTAGGCAACTTAAAATGATTTCAGTGTCTGTTTTTCTCTAAAAGTGGCAGTTTTAAGAACAGAGGTAGTTTTGTCATGCTTTGTGAGTCCCAGGACTTTGCTTGTGATTCTGAAATGGGGCCTTCTCTTAAATACGGGCAATGCCTAGATCTAACTTGATGGCTTCCCGCCCCCCCTGTGTTCGTAGAGGCATCCCGATGGAGTAGCGTCCATATCCTTTAAGGAAGCCGAAGAGGCTGATGTTTGCAAACAGGCACTCAATGGGCGATGGTTTGGTGGACGGCAGCTCTCCGTGGAAACGTGGGACGGTGTAACTGATTATCAGGTATATTTGGCTTAACGAAGGTCGGTTTTTTTAAAGAAAGATGCGAGTATGAGTAATGAAGGGAGCCAGTTACGACCAGGGCCGAAACTGGGGGACTGAGTTCTTGTCCTGCCTTAGGGATGAATCCAGCTGGGAGACTTAGGGCCGGTCCTTCCCTCTCGGCCCTAGGAAGAAGATGTTAATGGCAAACCAGTTCTGAAATCTTGCGAAGAAGATTTCAGGAACGTTGTCCAGATAGTCTCTAGGAGTCTTGACTGATTCGAAAATGAGAATAACTTAAGTTATTTAAGAGGACCTCTTTATGCTTTGCACTTGGCTTTTGAAATCCCTTCTAAAAGGGATTTCTGATCCCTAGAACAAAACTATTGATCATGAAACAGAACATGCCTTCCCTTCCCCTCCTTCTCCTCAAATATTGACAATTTCCAACATGTCCCACCCCCCAGGTTGAAGAAACCTCCCGGGAAAGAGAAGAAAGACTGAAAGGATGGCAAGAATTCATAGGAGATCCTGACCAAGAACGGCCTAAGAAGCCATCGGATGCAAATTCTTCAGAAAGTGGCCCGCAGCGGGCTGAAAGAGACCCGCCCTCTCAAGATAACGGGGCCGCTGAAGCTGACACAAAGGCCGAAGCCGCCGAGGGAGGAGATGCCCACAAAGGAGCCGGCGAAGATGTCGCGGCGTCCACCGACAGCAGCGGGGCGGGCAGCGACGAAGAAGTAGAGACTTAACGCCACTCACCGCTTGTCGAAAGCATGATTGCAGGCTCCCCTCAAGATCTTTCTTCTCCTTTCCTGATGCAGTTGCAAGCATCCACTCCAATCAATGAATATAAATAAATATATATATATATATATTTGTGTGTTTGTGTGTGTGTGTATATGCGCGCACGTTTCCTTATTAGGACATCACCGACGTGCTTTTAAAGTATTGCATTAAAAGCAGTATTTAGTTTGTGTGTGTGTGTGTGCGTGCGTGTGTGTATAATATATATATATATATATATATTCATATATCTTCATGTCTGGCTGCGACTGAAGCTGCGTATGTGTCATAAGTTGCCAAGAATCCTGCTGAACTGACCAGCTGTCTTAAGTTCCACCTTTGCTTGTCAGTGTCAAGTCCATCCATGTGTGAAGTAGGTACAGAGTCCCCAGTTCCCCTGAACTACACCATAATCTTTAGACACCCAGGTATGAACGCTTTTTGTTGTTGCTCTAATGCCACCTCCTCCCAGCCTACTAATCCTCTTCTCTGTACGATACGGATTCTTGCCTGCTGTGGATGCACCGGCATGGGCTTGGAATAGCTGGTTTTCCTGATTATTAATTGATTTTTTTAAAGTAGCAGATCATTGAAGATGTATTCGCACTCTCTGCGGTCGAGGGAGATTCGAAAGATCAAGGTCTGAAGATGCTATTCTGGTGTGTAAAGTTCCTTGTGATTCACGTCCTTTGTTCGTTAATAGAAGTCTGCGCTGAGGGAAGCTAGGTAATAAACGGGAAAAAGAATGTATACGAGATTAATTCTGATCTTCACTTTCTAAATTTTTGTTTTGATTATTAATTCATTGGAAACATGCAGAGTGCATGATTGTTTGGAGGTGTGATTCCTGCCTTGTCCCAGTGTTAACTGTTCAACTATAGTTGTGTTTCGAGCATTTGTCAAGACCAAGTGTACGAAGCCTGTATTTTTTTATACTGGATTGATTATAGGAGATAACTACGAATAAAATTGTTTTGAGATTCATTCCCAAAATTGTTTCTCAGATTTTTAAACAATTTTTTGTAGAGATTAACTGCTTAAAATTATTCTTTTTTTTTTAATTGCTGCCAAGACTTTCCAAATGCTTTGCTCAAATTTACTTTCTGTGGTCTTCTAACTACATATTGAAATAATGAAATGATTGTTTCAGCCATTTCAGGTCCACTTAATGGGGAGAACCTTTGCTTTTGTTGTGACGATAATGGCACACCTGCTCTCCGTTTGCATGCGAGCGTAGGAAATCGGATGCTTCATACTGAGTTTGCTTTTTTAACTGAAGGATATTGTAGTTTGTAGAAAACTTTAAATCAGGATCTCAGCCCCCATTACTTGAGATGGATGATTACGCAAATAATTTTCTGTTGACTCCGACTGTAGCAAAGTTAAAAGTGGAATTTGAGGCTTTTCTCTCCCTTTGGCTGGGAGAAAGAAGAAAGCTTGGAGCCGAAATACAACATTGATGACTGTTGCATCTCGTCGGACCCTTTAGGAATCTGCACTGATGAAAAATGGGCTACTTTGCTGAATAATCATTTGTAGAATAAAGCTAAGTGCTTAATGTACCAGTTTTGTACCTTGAATTTGTGATCAAGTCATCTCTTGCAAATACTTTGCGTTGCCTTTGAGCTGTTTGTCTTAAAGGTACTCGCCACTAACACCTGACACACCTCCTTTAAAACACTGAAATTTTGAGTTCACTGAAAATGAGAGGTTCGAAGTAAACCTCTTAAAAGGCTGTCATCTGTCCCAAACGAAATATGTGGCAATGTTTTAACGCACAAGCCTGTCCTGGATTTTCTCTTGCTGTGGTGTGTTGTGATATATGACGACAGTGAATGAGGTCAGTGAAACTTGCACAACTTAGGAGCTAGTGTGACAGTTCCAAATAAAATATTTCTGGAATTTAAATTATCGTTCCATTACAAAACCTCTGTGGCCTTATTTGTGGAAGAAAATAATATCAGAGCAGACCTAATTAGTATTTACAGCCCTTGAGGATGCCGGGATCAAACCTTAAAATAGATGGTTGCCATTTCCAAACTTTATATTCCTTTCTTAGGAAAATCTGGCTGTTGTTCTTCTAGAGAATATATCTGACTGCCTCCTTCCAGCTCCTCACGTCTCCTATTTATTTAGAAGCCATTTTGACCTGAATATACTCTGCCTATCTCTGGTATTCCACTGTGGTTTCTATTTGCAAATCTGTAATCATCTTCAAATGATGTAATTCCAGATTTTGAGCCTGGTACAATTTGTCATAAGAAGTGGTTGGGGGAAGGGTTGCCTAATAAAATATTTATTAGGCTTACATGTTTCTGAAACATTACAAAATTGTTGTAAAAGTTAATTTTTACCCTAGTATTTATACAGATATATATTATCTCCCTAAAGTATTTGGGGGTTTAATCTCAGAAGAATTATAGCAATTTTTACATAGAACTGGCTATTCTATTACTATATATTAGCGTGTTTTCACATGACTGCATTATAAATACAGATACTTGAGAAGATTTGATGCATTGCTGGACTCAAACTTTTCATTTCGTTTGCATTGTTCAGTCCTACTTTTGCAAATTATAGTTTCCTCACAGCACAAGGATTTACTCGGGGTGAATTATTTTGAATTTTGTACGGTTAAAACTGGAAATGAATGGGGCTTCTTATTTAAATTACTACTTCTGTTAACCTAGGGCCAGGTCTAAATTAAATCCAGTCTGATCTGATTCGTTCTACAAATTACATATAAAATTCTTCATAATATGAGACACACTGTTAAGCAAGGCCTCCTTCCTAGGCTGGTATAGAATTATATGAAGTCATAAGGCATTCATCCTCAAATGTTTTTATTTTTGCAATAATTATCAAAGTCTTTCCCAATCTGGTGCTCTCTCCTGGTAACCGTCTTCAGACTTTATTCATCCCCAACTGGCGAAATCAGTATTTGTTACAACACACCTAGGTATGTTTTTTGCGCCCAACGTTCTGCCATTTAAAAAAGCAGCGTTTCTCCACTTCAAGCTTGGATGTCGACTCTCAAGAGTTCCCCAGCCAGCCATGTGGCCACCAAGCACCGTAAAAGCCAAAATTCACCAATTTGTCTCTTGAGCTGAAATATTTGACTCTTCAAGCCGTTTCCAGCAGTTAAGACTCAGTTCAAGCCATACTGAGAGAGGTGCAAATTGGGGCATGCCTTGAACATCCCTTGACTTGTGGCCACAATTGAGCTCAACATTGCTGTGGCTAAGTGAGACTGGTTAAGTGAATTTTGACCCACGTTAGGACCTTTCTTGCCACAATTGTTAAGTGAGTCACTGCAGTTGATAAGTTAGTAATACGGCTTCCCCGTTGACTTTGCTCGTCACATGAGCCCAGGACACTGCAACTGTCATAAATACGAGTCAATTGCCCAATGTCTATTTTGATCACAAGGCCCTGGGGGGAGGGGAGACGAGACGCGCTGCAATGGTCGTGAGAAAAACAGTCCTAAGTCACTTTTCCCAGTGCCGTCGTGACTTGGGTCGCTAAACGAACTTAAGTCGAGAACTACCTGTATATAATATAACAATTCGATCACATGAGCCCTGGAATTAGAGGCTGGTGGCAAATAACTTTCCACTCTAAATGAGGAACAACAACAAGGAAATTAAACAGGAGAATGTTAAAAAGCGAAGCATACCGTCTGCAATAACGGCACCGATCCACCCATAAAAGGAAAACTGGATTTTTAACATTCGAGCCACGTCCATCTTGCAGCACCGGGGGCAGATCTTCCCTGCAGAGACCCGGCCCTTGCCTGTTGCCAGCTATCTTTTACGAGCACCCTGAACAGTCCTTTTTATTGTCTTCTTTCCTGAAACCTCTAAACCTGGTTGACTTGTCAGGGTGCATTTCACACATTCCTGTTGGCGAGCCTGAAGGATACGCCTAGTTCAGTCGCTGCTAAAGGAACAGAAAGGAGCTGCTGGTACAGTCTGGTGCCCTTCTCCTTGTTGTTGAGTTGCTACAGAGCTCGCCCTAGGAGCAGTGGACTCCGAGAATCGCAGCATGAAGTGAACTAAGGTATGGAAAAGAGTCTCAGAACAGCTTCTGAGTTCCTCTTTCTCAGAGGTTTGGGGGAAATCCTAAAGTTTATTAGTCCAAGCAAGATGCATCTAATGGAGACATCTAAGCAGAGTTACGGGAGATGTAACGTGTTTAGCGGAGAGCTACAATTTCTGGAATGTGTTGACAGAGATGCAGTAGTTTAGCTGAAATTGTGGTTTCCAATTAATGGTACGGTTGACATTTTAAAAATTGGGGTAGTCCTGACTAGTTCTGCACTAATTGTTGTGTATCTCTTCAATATCCTACCCTACTTTGATCATGTGAATCTTGGTTTATAATCAAGTATTTTCAACGGGTTAAAGTCCACCTATCTTTGTTCCTGACCTGGAAGGAATATTAACCGTAGAGGGAGGGAGTAGGAGGAGGTGGCCGTTCTGTGGACATCTGCAATGGGACATTTGTTAGTCATCGTGGACAACACATGCTGGGCTCTTACCCTCAATCTCGAGGGAGCTGACTTTATATTTAAAGCTTCTGGTACTTAAAAAAAAGAAAAGAAAATTAAATTCTGTTGCCACTTTTTGTGGAAGAACTATTTTCATCTCAGATACCGGTTGGGAAATCAAAAAGATAATTACTTGGAGGAAACTATCCTCCCTAAGTCACATGTCTCCAGGGCCAGGCTACATTTCCTACAAGATGGGGGCTCTAGTCATTGGTATGGACAGTTTTGTACTTTTTGAAGAACTGGGTTGTACATCTGTGGGCTCTCTTGGCAGACAACCAAGAAGACACATTAAATATTTTCGGTGAAGGATGAGTTACCAAGTCCTTGAGGTGCCATTTAAAAATTGCTTAGGCTTCCCATGCAAGTCCTACCCGTTGCCTGTGTTTACATAACATGCTAAACCATAAGCCATGCTTTACAAGTCACATTGACAAAAACACCAGTAATTGCAGGGGCTTAATATGTTGGCCATTACGCTCACATGCTTGGTTTGATTGGTCTTTGCATATTGTATTAAGTCCTGATGGTTCCTGAGAACTTTACAGTTGGGAGTGTTCTCCTAGAAAGGAATGTGGCACCAAGGCAGGGCAGCCCCACAACTTCAATTGTTGAGGTGTCCCAGATAATCATAGAATTATAGAACTGTGATATTGGAAGAGGCTATAAGGATCTTCTAAAGCAACCTTCTGCATTGTATAGGACAACCAGTTCCATGAAAGGTGGCCGTCCAACCTCTTTTTAAAGCCTTCAGAGATGGACAACCCATAGACTCAGTAGGTATATTCCACTATGTCTTCCCTTATTACATATATTTTACTATAAGGAAATTTTTCCTTATATGTAAATGAACTTGTGGTAGCTACAAATATACTAGCTAATTTTTGGTCCTTGCTTCTGTGCTAATGGAAAATAACTCCATCTTCTCTCTGGAACTTTTAGGTACCTGAACACTAATCCCATGTCTTCTCTCTTTCCCATTTTCTCCAGGTAGATTAGAACACCCCAAGCATAAACTCTGAGTAAGCAATGATCTTGGGAAGGGGGAGCAGGAAATAATCCATAGCATGGACCATCAACTCCATGTACATCTTTCTTGTGTCACGTTTATTTTCAGGTTATTTCCAAGTATGGAAGAGACAAAGAATAATTCCACAAAGCTGAGCAGAACCAAACAGCCAGTGAAAACAGAATGGGGAGCCCATTACATGGTATTAACCTATTTCCAAGGAGACACTAATAGCATGGTGGATGAACATTTCTCTAGAGCTTTGAGTGTCACCAAAAACCCTCAGGATCTGAGTAGAAACAACAGTGCCAAAGATGGCCTTATTAACAACGGTGAGCCATGGCTTGTTTTACTTATTTCGTAGTTAGCAACTCATTCAACAAAGAACTGTGACTCCTTATTGCCAATAGATTTTTCCAGGTATAATTGTACCCAGTGCTTTTTTTGTAAAAAAAAAATAAAAAAAAATGCCGGAACTCACACACGTTATACAACCCGCCTTGCCTACCCTACAAGGTTCCATCCCAAAAAATGTTGCTGAACGTCCATACCCAGCAACCAATGCTTGGGAAGCAATCACCACAGACCAAGTTTCTCGTTGCTGCATCAGTCACATCCAGATTACTATTCTGGTTATTTTTCCCCTCTCGTAAAGAACATTATTTATGTAACTTTATCAACAGTATCTTGTTGCAAACTCAAGTGGGTCAGACTATAGCAAAATGGGCAAAGCTACCAAACTGAAGGCAAATATTAGTTTTGTCTGTCTCTTGATATCCTGCCCTTCAAATCAGATGACCTTTTTCACAGAATCTCCCCCTGTTTACACATGAGTAATTTAGAGAGTCAGTTGAGTTTACTGGTTAAGGCACCAAACTAGAAAGCTGGAGATTATGAGTTCAACTCCTGCCTAACCAAGAAAGCCAACTGGGTGATTTTGAGCCAAATACCAGGAGACGGTGAGTTCTAGTCCCGCCTTAGTCATGAAAGCCAGCTGATTGACTTTGGGCCAGCCCCTGTCTCTCTCAGCCCAACCCACCTCACAGGGCTGTTGTGGGGAAAATAGAAGGAGGAAGGTGTGTTGGATATGTTCACTGCCTTGAGTTATTTGTATAAGTCATAAAGGTGGATACATACATACATACATATGTGTTTTTCAAAATTTGGATTGACTTCTCTCTCCCATATTTGGGCTGACAGGGTGTTCAAAAAGCATTCATACATACATATATACATAAATACCTATCACTGGAACTCACTTTGGAACTTGAATGAATTTGCTTTGCCTTTTTTCAACAGAAAACCACCAACCTTCTCACGAGTGGGGTCTTCCACCCCACTGGACCAAGCCCTATTGCCCGGCCTCCCCTTTGAACCTGTGCGCTTCGGACGAAAACCGTGTGGTTCCTGCGGTGGAGGTCTACCAGCCTTCCATTCTCCAGGGAACCTCTTCCGCCACCGCTGAGCTCTGGCCCTCGGCTTCCGGGGATGATCCATGTTTGACCACAGTTTCGAGGTACCCAACTTCTGATCTGCACATGGCGCAAGACGGCATGTCGGATGAGAAATACGGTTCGCTGCTGGGCCTCCTGGAGCAAGAGAGATGTTCTGGGCCCGTCCAAGAGCTGCTTCATTCCCGATCGGCTTGTCTTACTGGTTCGGCTGGATTGCAAAATATGAGCCAGAGGTAAGTCTGTCTAGGTTTATATTTTGATTCTTTAGCGCTTTCAAGATGGGGGGGGGGAGACAGACGGTGTTTTTCAAGAAGGAAATGGTAAATATGATTTCTTTCTTCCAAGTGTCATCATGTGGGCTTGATTTTTTTAAAAAAAAAAATCTCCTGGGATTTAGAAAAAAACTTGAAAAACATATCTGAAACGCTTGAGCAGGGGGTTGGACTAGAAGACCTCCAAGGACCCTTCCAGCTCTATTCTGACTGAACTGAATTGGATTTTTTTTTTTAACTGAACCAAACTGAAGTTGAAATAGACTTATACGATCTGGAGAGAAACCAGGGAATGGGCTATTGAAACGATCGCTCACGTCCTGCTGTACTGCACCTTCTATAAAGAAGCTTGGATTCAGTTGTTGTCGTGGGGAAAATAGGAGGAGTGGGAAGGTGTGTTGGATATGTTTGCTGCCTTGAGGGATTTGTAGAAATAATCAAAAAGGCGGGATACAAATTAATAAATTAATAATCGTGCCATTCGTCTTCCTATCCCCGATGTTATACTTTAATATTATCCCCTAACTGTTGATCTCCTGTTCTTTTCTAGGTATCCCTGCTAAGGCCAATGTGCACTTTTCAAAATGGACCTGTTTGCTTGCTAAAAGACTTTCCAAGGACTTTTGAAAATAACAGAACTGTAGTTAAGAAAAGCAGTCAAACGGCGGTAGTCAACCACCATCTTCTCTCACGCTATTTTTTCCCCGTGGTTTGCTTTTCATTTTTGGAAAGGGGACAGAGAGACGCTCTCACGGGTCTTGAGTTTTGCCCAACGGCGTGCAGAAATCCAGTTCCATGGAAAACTCCCTGCCTCTGGCTTCCTGGGGATCCCTAATCTTGGGGGTGTCCAGGACTGTTGAGCCAGGACCTTCAGCCACTCTTTATTAGCTTACAACGTTCCATCCACTGCCACCGGTTGCTTGTTTCCGAATCTAATCTCAGTTTAGGAATAATATAAAAATAGTTTGCAGACTGGCAATCGCCACACGATGGCAGCAAATTTCAGAATTTGGCCACATCCTAGGCTGAAGATCACCCTCAACCAGACCCTGATGAGCAAAGATCCATCCATACTCAAGACGCTAAATTAAGGGCCGTTTTTAGAACTGACATAAAACGTTGCCTTTGGGAAGCTCAACTCAATGAGTGGGAGACATCCCAAGGGCCATAAGAGAAACTTATGGCTTTCTTCTGTCCAAATCATTGTTATTTTTGTTGACACACTCGTGTGGTTTCTGTTCTTAGCAACCACAAACTAAAGGCTGTTGCTCCTATCAAGAACATCTCCCTCCCATCCCAGAGTAGATGCCGTTGGAGGAGGACATCTATGATGGTGTGTCTGTTCAGACCAGTCTTATCTATACTGGTCCAGGGCCTCTCAAGAGAAGAAGAAGATGGCTTCCTGTTACTCACCAGGTGACCCTTGGGTGGTTTAGTGGCTCATGTGCAAACCTAGCCTTATTTGGTTTGTTTTCAGTCTGGAGTATCCTGTGAATCTGGAGAATGAGTTATCAATTAAAGCTGGTGCACTTCCTGGTGAGCATTTGTGTGGCTTTTCTTCAAAACACACATGTGGGGATCTTCTAAGCAGGATGCCAAACCTCAGAGCAACTTGACATCCCCTTAACCAACACACAAGCTTGGAGAACAAACCTTCTCCCTCTTGATAAGGGTGTCCACATACGAAGAAAAGCAGAGTTTCATCCCCACAGCTGTGGCCATCATCTTGATTTTTGGCCAGACCTTGTGGATACCTCTGCTGTGATGGAAAGATCACCCCTCATTAAGAAGGTTAGCAAGCACTAAGATCTCCAGCTTCTGATCGCTACCCAGTGGAAGCGATTTGAGTTGCCCTGATATCTATAAGGGGTCTAAAATGAGAGGGCGATGCTCAAATTGAGCTCCATGAGATTAGAAAGATTACTGTGGGGTCCTCTGTGCACTCTGAGCTTGGTGGTTTCCTTGCCAATTTTTCATTACCAAGCTAGGTAATATCAGTGCATTAGTTGGGTAATGAAAAATCTGCAAGGAAACCACCAAGCTCAAAGAGCACCAAGGATCCCACAGCCCTCCTCCTCCTCCACCTCCTCCTCTTCCTCCTCCTTTCATTGTTCTCCACAAACCCCACTCCCTTCTAGTACTGATGATGTTTCCTAGCTGGGTCATGAAATGTCTGCAAGAAAACCACCAAGCTCTGAGAGCACCAAGGACCCCACAGTCTCTGGGATTTTATCCAGGGCTCTAGAGAAGGACTCCATTGATGCCCACTTCCCTTGCAGTCCAGCAATTATTAAAATCTGTTCTAGGTTTTCTAGTCTGTTGAAAATCAGGAGTCTGTTTGCACTTTTCAGCTAAATACATCTGATTAAAAAGCAGAGATGGCAGAAAACACCAAGCAAACCCACAGATTCGGGACTTCTGAGTTGCTTGATTATGAAGCATCACATATTTCTCTTGATAAAAAAACTTTATTTTTGTGTCTCTACCACCATTTAATTTTTTTGGAATCTATACCCTCTGTGACAAAGCCAAGGGTAAAAAAATAAAGTTATGTCCCCCAGCTCAAAAAGGCAATACAAAACGAAATTATTGACTTTCTTGACCAGCCTTATTCTCCTCTCCAAAATGCTGTAATTTATCTCAGTGATGGTACAGTACATCTCTATGAGGAAGAGGCAGAGAAGAGAAAGAGGAGACAAATCAAATATAAATCTAGAAGACTGCTTTTTGATCGATGATATGGCCTTGATGGAAACATTTTTGGCCACCTGGAAACAACAAAATGACACCATCAGCAATTCTAGCGCCTTTGAGCTTGTTGCAATGGAATTGTTGCAACGGAAGGATGCGAGGTCAGAGATTTGAGTGTCAGAACACGGTTGGGGGTTAATCTCTTCAACAGCTTTGATAAACGGACTAAAAAATACATCATAAACATGGAGAGAGCAGCAGCCTTGGAAAGCTTATCTGGAATGGAAAAGTTGACTTTGCATTATCGTTTTTTGTAGAGTAATGAAATGACATCCTGATGAAATAACCGCCTTTGGAAGTATCGATGGGTAGAAGAAATGGGAGTTTTCCAAAACACAAGGGCAAAAATGCCTGTGGAGATTCTCAGTCATCCGGGTCATCGTTGCCCCAAGGGTGCTTTTTCCAAAAGCAACTGGACGGTTTATTCTTGAAGAAGGTGTTTGTTTCTTGAGAAGCAAAACATTTTCCTCTTCCTCAACAAAAAATAGCCCAGTTGCCTTTTTAAAAAAGCATATTTGAAATGAGGGCAAAATAAACTGATTGTCAGATGCTCGCACGGCAGGAAAGCCCTCTAATTAATATAATTCTGCAGGAAGAAACTATAAAAAATAAAACTTGCAGAGAAAATAGAGAAAATCGGAGGAAGAGTGAGTGAGTGAGTGAATGAATGAATGAATCAATCAATCATCAATCATATTTACTTTGCCAGTGATCAGAAAAGACAAAGAACAAAAACAGAGTGAAACAAATAAATACAATAATATACTATCAATTAGCAGAAAAAAATAACAGAATATAACCTTCACTCCTTTATTATTGCATTAATACAGTTGTTACCCAGGGGATAAATCTAAAATGTGAATAGGCATGTTAAAAAAAAACTTATATACCCCTACAAGTTATTAATTAAGATATATCAAACCAAGAGTAATATTTAAAACAAGCGTAAAAGCCTCCTTAATCAATTAAATCTTGCTTTCATCACAGCAACAAAAAAGGTATATTGGGTATGTGTGCCACCTTATTTATAACAATAATAGAGGCAGGAAATGCATAAACAACTAAAATACAAATTCACCTTCCCTATTTAAACCTTTAGGCCCACTTCTTATGAGGCAGGAGATGTTAATTCAGGATTCAGGTTTTACCATGCAATCCTTCAGCCTTAAACCGACCAACAACTACTCTGTGTTACCAAAATGGTTCCCTTTTATGACAAAGATCTGGGACTCGTGCTTTGAATGTCGTAGATTTTCCTGCCCACGAATGAATGTTACCTTTATATTTGCTGTGTTTTGATAACATTTTATTTGGTTTTTTTAAAAAATGTCCCTGGCCCCTTTCAGATACCAGAATTCAAAGTTCTTTGGTAAAAAATGACCTTGTTGCTTTGATGGAGATCCCGAGGGCTTTTCATGGTTATTGTTTTTGAGGATTAACATTGTCTGTAATTATTTCTGATTCTGGTCTAAACCAGAATCAAAACCAGGACAGAATGATCAGATGGTGAAGTTAGTCTTGATGCTTTAGAACTTCAAAATGGCCAATATTGACTCCCATCCCATAGGAGAGGTTGTTTCTGTTCTTGTTATTGTTGTTTGTAGTACTGTGAGTTAAAATAGAATGTATTCAATTTTTTCATATCATAAATGTCTATGGATGTGATGAACAATCTGAAGCTTCAGGGAGGGTTATTGAGCTGAGGAGATTAAACATCTGGTAATGGCTATTAATCAAGAATAATAAAGGAAGCTTCTTTCTTCAGAATTACAGCCAAGGGGGGGGGGTAGCAACATTAAGATAAGAGCATCATCTGCCAGCTTTCCAGAGAAATCATGTTAGATTAGATAAGTTTTCTTGAATGAAATATGTCAGCACATAGCAGCTGAGGATACCAAATAAGGCCGAATTAGATGGACTTTTGGATTTAACCCAGAAATTTTTTTAATGTTCTTCTTGTCCTCTGTTCAGAGAAATGATATCCAAAGAGCTCCCTGTGTTGTGATTTGTTCTTCCTCCCTTTGAAGGAGGAAAGAGGAGGAGAAGGAAAGAGGGCACCCCGAAAAAGAGTTAGAACAAAGAATTCAGGGCAAAGGACCCCAGGAGTGGTTTTCTGTCAGAGCTGTCGGAAATGGGCTTCAAATGATGATTTTGTTTCATTGTTGTTATGGAAGAGGAAGGTTAGCACACACACACAAATGCTCCACACACTCAGAGTGGAAGATGCAATTTGTTCCTCAGGAAGTTGTGGGCTGGCACATGCGGTGCAGAGCAAGACCCAAATTTCATGGTAGTTGCACTAGAACTTTGGAAGGTATAGATACTGCACATGGAGGAACCGAGGGAGCCCTACTCTCCATCAAATTTGCCACCGGCTGAACCCGTGTCAAGGGTCACCATGAAGACCTTCCTGAGTGTCATCTGTGTCTTCGTTATTGCCCAACTTGTGGGGACTGTCCTCTACATTTTGCACCTTCACATCAAGTTAGACAAGGTAAGCCCGGTTTGTCTATAGAGAAGATGTCAAGGATGGATTTTCATGGGTGGGAAGGCCAACAGTGGACCACAGGTTGAATTCATGTGGCATCAAATGTTTATTTCTACTTGCTGATGTGGTGGTTAGCGTGTTGATTGGGGGGAACCAAATATCAACCCCACATCTAGCAATGGAAGGAGGTTTAATGATTTTAGACCGGTCATACTCTTCCTGGTTCCACCTCAATCTCTTGAGAGTTGTGGGAACACACTGGAAGAAAGTGTCCTGTGAATGTTGTCTTAGCTCCTGGAGGAGAGATGGGTATAAATCTAACACATGGATGGATGGATGGATGGATGGATGGATTGGTCAATCTTGATTATTCTCATTCCATTGAATGGAAAGAAGAGAAAGTGCTTTCAAAGAAGTTTCAAAGGAGAATATTTGAGGGGAGTTCTCCTGATTGTGCTGTGGGGTTCTTAACTACAAGGAAAGTGTACCTGAGTGGACTGTCTTTCATCCTTTCTCCATTCATCTCCAGCCTCCCTGGATTCCCACCCATCCATTCATTCCTCAGAGAAGATCTTGGGAGTTTGTTCCTCCCAGAGACCTTCATTCAAGAAATGATGGCCAGCCAGGGAGGCTTCACAAGGATGGGAAGAGATGGAGCTGGAAATAGCTTCACCCCATCTGCAGCTTCCTTGGCTTCTCCTGCTTCCAAGGGTTTGGGAAATCATTTCTTTCTTTCTTTCTTTCTTTCTTTCTTTCTTTCTTTCTTTCTTTCTTTCTTTCTTTCTTTCTTTCTTTCTTTCTTTCTTTCTTTCTTTCTTTCTTTCCTCCTTTCGAGAGGAAAGACAGAGAAGTTGCAGAGTTATGAAAACATAGGTGATAAGAACATAGCCACATCCTCTGCTACCTTGGACAGCCAAGAAAACTCCAGAATGTCTTTCAAAGACATTCAAAAAAGATGCTGAGAAACGAGCACCAAAATAAAACCACACAATTTGGGGCAAGCTGGACATTGAGAGAGTTTTAGGCTGATGAATTTAATTGATCACAAAGACAGCCTAATGTTACTCCAACATACATCCTTTCCTGCCTACAGGAACCTTCTGGAAAGGATACTGGGTGTTGGCGTTCCAATGTGCCCCTCTCCCATTGGGGCAACAAGAAAACCAAACAGAGACCTAAATATATAAGGGGTAAAGATGACTGGATGACAAATTGGATGGGAATAAGGGAAAACAATCAAGATTCAGAGGTGGTGTCAGTCATCCTGGCTGCAACTGTTCAGGACAGCATCAGTGCAAAGGATTCACTACTCGGTTGAGTCACAGTCCTTCCGGCCAACCTACTTAACAAATCTTGATCAAGGGGGCTGGGCTCTTATGCTGTCCTAATTGTTTGGGGGGTGAAACTGGGGTAGGATGAGTGTCTCTTGACTTCAGTAATTCCCCCCCTTGCTTCTGAGAATTGGCCCTCTTGCAACACCGAGCAACTATTTCCTCCATAGCTGTGCGAGTTAATTGTCTACTCAGAATTGAGTTGGCGTCATCCTGTTGGTCTGGATCCAGTTTGAACCTTATTTAGACTAGAGAAGGATTGAAATGGCTGAGGCTGAGTTGGCCACACCTTGCATTGATCATGAGCAAAGCTGGATTCAACCCTCATGTTCAGCTAAGAGAACCAGGAGAGGACAATTTGATTGTGATTGTTGCTTGTTCACCGGAAGCTTGCCGTTTCTGTGTCATCTTCCTGATTTTGACAAGCACATTAAGCTAAGACAAAAATCTAAATCTGCAATTCAGCCTTAGTTTTGACATCATGTGGGAATCTAATATAATATGATTTCATCATGTTCTACTATGATATATCTGTGCGTGATATCCAGCCCCCAGATGTTTACAGAAACCTTGCAGATTAAGACTGAATTATTTTTAAAGACTAAAACAGGCAAAAAAAAAAAAATCTTGTTAAGAGTTTGTCCAGGGGATGAGTAAATATCAAGATATTTCCCAGCCTGTGATTTAACATCTCTTTATGAACTTCCTTTACATTTCAAAAAATAAAAGATGGGAGTGGTGGTCCATGGGAACGAGCTACTCAGATTAAAAATTCTGCTCCGTTAAAAAATAAAATGTAGCAGACAGATTAATCCATCAATTCGATTTGCATATCTTTGTGTGGGGCCATCATGATATATTCTGTTTACATTCTTTTCATTTCTTCCTTTCTATTGTTGAAAGCCGCCCCACAGTAGCCCCACAGCGAGATAGATAGGTAGATAGATAATTAAACAAACAAACAAGCAAATAAATAAATAGAACTGAAATGGGGAGAAAAAAACTCCATCCTTGCCCTAACTTTAGATGGCGCATAGGCTTTATAGCAAAAAAAATATAAATGCACAAGAATAAAGAAGTGAAAGACAGGACCATTTATTTATGTATTAAATATATACACCTCCCATCTCACAATCAAGTGTCTCTGGGCAGCTTACAACAACATAAAAACAAGGATAAATAAACATTAAAACAAACGTTAAAACAAACGTTAAAAACACGAACAAGACATTGGGAAATTGGACAAACTGGGAACCCGAAGACAAAGAGGGCAGGGATGGGATGTCCTTTGTTTTTTCAACAATTTTTATTTTATTCAAAGAAAAGGGAACATACAAATACTCTTAACTTT